TATCCGATATCATTGCAATGTGCCCTATCCGAAATCTTAGCGCAAATCTCGTCGAGTGAACTTAAAGTGTAGCGGTCTCTCTTATGTCCGTTTCCTTGGAGGTCACATGGTTTACTCGTTGAGGTCTTGCTCTTTTCGGTTCTTCTTTCAGCCGCTTCTTATTTAGACCTGCCTTTTGTTGCTGACTTGTTGCGTTATTGGTTAGCTTGAAGCAGCATGATGTGGTGTGCACTCTAACACTTGAAGCAACAACGCTATTTACATTGTGAAGTTTGTTGTTGTGCTGACGCGCAGATGAGACAAAGCCCGCGCTCTCGCAGATATCTTGATCCTTCCTGTGGGGTTCTATACTTGTTGCAGTCAATAGCTTTATGGTCTTCACCACAATACATGCATCTGCTTTGCTGCCTTAAGAGGTCCTTTCTGATGAAGAGTGATCTAGAGCTAGCGCTCTGCTCTTTTCCGGTTTTCTCCATGTAGAGTAACATCAACTCTTCGTTTGAAATTGTCTCTTCTAAGAACTCTAACAGTCTGTTCATAGAAAATGAATCTTCTGTCAAGGTCGTGCTCCTTTTCAGAAGTACTTTTTTCTGAACAGACGCCGGAAATTTGAAGAGAATTTTTCTAATGCATCACTGACTGTGTACTTGTTCCCTTTGTGAGCTAGCTGCGCTATGATTACTTGTAGTTCTTCAAAGAGAGAACGTTGATCCTTTAATATAGGTGACCTCAGTGATGCCTTCTCCAGCTTATCAAGCAATCGTGCAACTAGTTCTTGTGTATTTCCATACCTGTGCTGGAAGAACTTGACTGTTTTGAGTAGTTCTCTGGTGTTACTTGAAACTTTTCAATTGCTTGGTAGGCCTCGCCGCAAAGTGCATTCTTCAAATTATTGATTTTGTAGAGGTCGGAATCTGCTGCGAGTGGACATTGGTGTTGAAGAGTTCCCAAAAATTGTCCCATTACCATATATTCCCTCGGAGTATTAGAATGGGCAATGCTGGGAGCTCGCTTCCAAATCTCGTTTGTACCTGAGGAGCTCCTTCTGCAGATTCCGTTGTCGTGTTACTTGCTTCCCCTGCACGAGACGTGCAGACCGTGTATGCCTGTCTGCGTGACTGTAACAGTACTAAATAGTCACATGCGGAGGCCAGAACTTCCTCCGCCTTTGCGGAATACTCCTCAAAGCTGCTTACTTCTTATTCATCCAAGCCTTGCAAGCTTGACACGTCTGTAGTGTAATTCATCAAGAGTTTCTCAATTTTCTCCGTAAATGCTGTGATTGGCCCTATTCCTTCGTTGAGTTGTCGTAAGCTGTCCCTAAGTACCTCGCCATCCTATGGAGTAGCCGTGAGCGTTTCCAACCTTTAATTCGTGAAATATGTGATGATCGCTTCCAATTTCTTTGTGTATCGTGTCAGTAAGCGCTTAGATGTACCAAGTCGCATTGCTATTTTCTTGATAACGGTTCAAAACTTGCAACCGAAAATTACAGTTTGGTTCAAAACTTGCAACCAAAATTGCTGCCGCATCAAAAGGAAGTCAAGTATGTCAGCACTGCGAAATCGTTAGACTGACCTGAGTTCGTCGTCTGCTCGATGCACCATGTAGAAAAGAGTGTTCTTTTTCTTCACCTAGACTAGGACTTGTGTTTCTACTCGCTCGCTTGCCACGCGGGACTATAATCTGTGGTTGGAAACGGGCTCACAAACAGGTTTATTGTTCAAACCTTCACATACATTTTCTGTCTTCTTGCTCACGCTCCGGAAGTTCTTCTTCTTCTGCGAGAGACTTGAACTTGAACTTGAGGTCCTTACGGAACTTGTCACTTGAGGAAGCATCATCTTACGGCGGTGTGAGCTCTGTTTGTACAGAAAAAATATCAGATAAAAGTTGAATCTCAAAATATATTTCAAACGAAAAGAAATATAGATGATATAATAAACGTCACAAACAGCAAAACAACGCATACTTGAGAAATATACGATTACAAAGAACACAAATCAATTCAAATACATGAACAAATACTTGATACATTGGTTAAACAATCGACAAATATATCCAAATTATATATATTGATTATGGATCACTTGGTCGTCATTGACGACAACATCTCTCATTCTTTTAACTTTAATATGGTTACGAGAAAAAAGGAACCAATTTTTCGTCATTGACGACAACATCTCTCATTCTTTCAACTTTGATATGGTTACGAAAAAAAAGGAACCAATTTTTTCCAGTTGCATCTAGATCTTGGAGGAGGGGGAATGGAGGGGGGGTGGAGAAACGCGGCGTAGGGGAACGTATGAAGCGTTTTCCAAATAAAAATTAGCACAAGTTTTTCGCAATGATTATATAACTGATCTGCCACATTCGCGGCCATAACCTACTTTTTTTAAGGTCCCAAAAGTGACTATAGTGAAAATGAAATTTCATTTTTTTTTTCTTTGTAAAAACGGTGAAATTTTCTGAGCTTGCTACAAAAAATTTTCGTGATGTTTTAAACAGAAGCTTTCAAAACCACACAATAAGTTTTTCCACTCTGGAGCTCTTCAACTACTACTGCAGCGGAAATGCTAGTGACATTCTTTTTGAATCCTTCAATGGTAAAAGACAAAGTGATGTATACTACAATGAGGGCTGTTCATACTTAGAAGTCGGGGCCCAACTATCAAAAGTCCATGGTCACATATTCTGTAAATTAGAGCTGATGTATGTATATCCAAAAGTGCAACAGTGTTTGAAGAATGCATCGATTTATTTATTGCTGGCCGATAGCTAATTTCCTAGTCGAGAAGGAAAAGCAACCCGGTTTGCACCGACTTCAAGAAACTCGCGTCGAATCCCCTGCGTTCAGTGAAAGTATGCGAGATAGCTTGCTACAAGCTCTTCAATATTCAGCTTTCAATTCTAAACATATCTCTTGCTACATATCTCAAAACGTCGCATTCTCCAACTTTTTGTTTTAAATCGATCGACAACCTTGTAATTTAATATCTGCAATTCAATTTGTCATATTACATATCATTTTCAACATATGTATCAAGGTCAATATAACAATTATAATACAAAGAATGCACGTAAAATGCCATACTATAGAGAAGTTATAACTTTACCTGGAAATATTTCGCCACGAGTTTTTCTCAGTTAGGAGTACCATGTAAAGATTAGTATGTAGGTTGACGCAAAAGGTTATCGCGTAAGTCAAACAGAATCTAATAACTTTCTAAGCACTAAATCTAAATTTATCAATATGTTCCTTAAAAATAGCTGAAGGTTGAAGTTTCTTCTCCATAACAGAAGTTGAGATAGCGTTTCAAAATCTGCAAACTTGAGTTTGATGCTAAAATGCGAAGGGTTTCTAGCTAGCCCCCAGAACTTCGTGAAAGTTTCTTGCATAGCGGTAGTCGACACTATACTGTCAGGCTTCGATCTCGCATTGAAAGCAAAAACAAAAATTAGTCAAAAAGTCATTTTTTTTATTACCGCGTTTCTTCACAAAAATGCAGTTCGAGGCCAGGAAGTGATCTAACGTTTATCTAGAAGTCTGTGAGGTTTTTTTGGGCATCACACAATGTTTTTGCTGAAAAAGTGCAGCAAAAAGGGATTTCCCGTGAAATGACATTTTTGGCAAATTTTTTGTTTATTTTTCATGCGAGATCGAAGCCTGCTACAGCTAGGTATGGACCACTGCTATGCAAGATAATTTCAGCAGATTCTTTGGGGCTAGCTAGAAGCTTGCAGAAATTACGCAAGAACTTCTGAATCAACCTAGTACAATTTGTATCATTGACTACATGAATTTGTTCACAATACAATTTTATGAGCGAACTACAAAATTGCAAACCTGAGTGTGAATCATCGCGACTGCACGATGCGACAACACATGTCTGTTTTCTTTCACAGCTCCTAAAAAGCGGTTTTCCATAAATAGACCAAACCAAGCGAGTTTATTGAAAATGAAGGAATTTATTGTTTGAAGTCTACCGTTAAGTAACAAGTAACTCTATTATGTATCTGGACTGTTCAAAAGTAAGAAATATGGAGAACAATTTCTATTCTTTCGTAAGTTTTCGCATTTGCATGTTTCCAGTAGAAATTCAAATCTGAGAGGAATTCTAAAATAAGAAATTCATCTACAATCTAATCCAAATGGTAGTCCATTGCAGTTGTTTTCCACAAATTCTCGCACCATGATTCGTAACGGATCAAATGGCTCCGGTCACTAATAAGGTCCGACTGTAGCCATGGCTCTTGTTGTTCAATATTTTGCTCAGTGCGGTCAAAAATCTAAAAAGCAAGCCATTGACCCCAGCAATTGTAAAATTTGCCTGATTACATGCCATCCCAAAAGCAAATCAATAGACGAAGTACCTTTGCAAATATATCTCACAGTCGTAATACTTTTTGCCTCCACGAATTATTTTTTCATTGAAAAATCAGAGTAGGACGCAAGATAGGAGAAGAAAAAAAATTGAAAGGCAATAGAATGAGGATAAAAGTAAAAAAACATGTGTATCAAATGAAACCATGCGTAAAGAGAGATTATGCGCAACTCATCGATACAAATCACTATTGCATGATTGCGCTACTTTACTTTGAATAATTTGAACATAAGCTCATTATTTTGTATCTAATATTACTTGCTACACGCTTAGTAGAAGTGTTTAGTGCTTCTTTTTCTTTTTCAGCTTTCTTCCTTTCGAATAACATTGGGTTTTGCATCCCGCCATATTTTCGATCTACCGGGTCGCATGCGACTGCCCAGGATCAGCATAGTTGCTGAACTCTTGCACGGTGGTAGGTTGATTGCTATGCTACCAGTTTCTCTGCTAAATTATTTGTAGCAGTCCTTCATTTATTTCTCGTTTGCCAGTAAAAAACTCATTATCGTTTTTATTTCGTTTCGTAATTCAAAATGATTTGTTTTACAGATGACCACCACAGTCGAAAACACTTCCACGGACATGATAGCTGTCGGCGATGAGGTTTTGAGGGATATGCTGGAACTTTGTGATGGTGATGAAGACGGTTGGAAGGAGCTTTGGACTGACGATGGAATTGCTTTTCACACAAGAAAGGGCACCGATGCTTGCGCTGTGGATATTGTTCGATGTCGTCTGATCCTTGAGGTAACAAATTTCAAATAACAACCATAAACTCTTTTAGAGTGATATTTCCAAAGTTTTTTCGAACTTTTTTCCTAGTTCATGAGGTACTCTTTTTCTTTAGGAAACCGATCTGGCAACAGTGCTGGCTATGGTTACACCATGGCTTCCCTATCGTATCCAATGGGACGATATTTTGCAGGTACGGATAAAAGCAACCCTACTAAAACTTCCAGTTTTATTTCAGAAATGCGAACTAGTTCAAGAACTTGACAAAGGCTATCGTTTGGTCCACCATGTAACCAAGAAAAGATTCCCTCTTTCTGCCAGAGACTCTGTAAGCTTCAAGAGTTCTAAGCAGGATTTTTTAATTGTTTTTTTTATTAAGGTAGACATAGTAGGCAAAATTCTTGAGCCAAATCGGGTGATAATGGTTGCTAGAAGCATCCCCACCGCTGCACCAGCTCCAACTCCAGATATCGTGCGCACTTACCAGCATATTGGTGGATATCGTTTCTGTACCAAGGGAGAACGTAAGTTCATTTCGATAAATTCAGGTTACTTGTACTTCACCCTATTCAAAGTAAATGCAATTTGCCATTTACGTTGGAAAACCAAAAAAATCAACAGGACTGTATCAGTAGCCTGTATTGTAGTGGTGCAGTTCTTGAACAAGAAATAAACAAATAAATAATAAATCAATAAGTATAGTCATAGATTTGGTCGAAATGTTATAGAATAATATGAAGCCCTGAAATCAATCATTCCCAGAATCTTTCGATATCTAGATTTTGTAAAAATTGATGCACATGAATCTGGGAAATGTTCCGTAACTGGTGCAGCTTCGATTTGATTTTGCCAAGTTTCCTTGCTTGAGCTAAAACTCCTAACTTTCCTAATCAAGTCAATCTACCCAATCGACCAAAACAGTGCTACCCTTCTGTCATAAATAGACACTTACCAAGAGTAAACAGTCAGGTTCCATGGTAAATAACATTTTTCTTGCACTAATAACAATCTCAAAGGTAAAGTTGAAATGGTGGAAGTAATGGAATGTTCTCTACTTGCTTTATAGGGCATCAAAAACTTTTTTATAAGAAAAATTGCTGGAAACTCAGAAAACAAAGTTTTTGAAGTTCAATCTGCGAACATGTAAATGTGAAACATAACATTTTATCTATTTGTTTATTTCTCGTGCCTGCTAAGACTGATTATTGGTAAAAGGTCATTATTTGTATCTCTGTTAGAAGCATTTTATTTTTTCATTCTGAGAAAAAAATCTGCATTCTAAAAAGGCCAGGACGCCACTTATGTAGAAGTTTTTCGATTTTTGACCGTAGGAATAGATTTAATGGTCTCATCCATTTCAATCATGCGTTTCTTAATTTTTTCTGCAAAAAAGAGCTCTTAGTTGATTTGTGCAGCTTCTGCGATAAAACGCTAACATTTGCAGATGACGTCGAATTCACGATGTTCTTCCAATGCGACCTGAAAGTATCCGCACCCGTCTTCGTCCAGAAACTCATCGACAAAGCAAAGCCAAGATTCATGTGCGATAAAGTGAAATCACTACGCCGTGCCATCAAAACGATGCATATTGATCCGGAACATTTGGAAAAGTGGTGAAGCTGTGCGGGCACAATTCTGTATATATTCTTCAAATCTCACTACACTATTGACATTTGCACTTGCTCAGTTTTATTATCATAACATTTTATTACAAAGAGGAGAGCATGTGAAGGAATAAATTTATTACATTTGTACGCGTATATCATGATATCATGGAGTTTTAGGATTTAAGAAGTTCTTCAAAGTTTTCCAGCCGTGAGTGCAACAGTATGTGGGAGGCTTTGTTGTTCAGATAGCAGTCAATGGAGCAGAAATGACAAGGAAAATATTGTGGTAGCTTATGACGACCATTTCGTTGACATTCGCGACATACCTGAAATTCTGGACTTATGGCAAAATAATAGGAAAAATTTGTGCAGGATTTTCAGATACGCCTCGTTCTGGTCCGAGTCGACCCTGCCTATCATTCGAATATCCAATAGACAATAGCGCAGAACTGAAAAACGCTCTGTGAAATGTTTGGTCACGCCCATTTTTTGATTTGGAGCACCCTTCTCACGTCTTAATAAATCTGAGGGAGGCAATATCGATCTTATTGTTGGCGGTCATCCTTAAAATAGGGAGTAACTGAAATTTTCAAACTAGGTCCACCTCGCTTTGTCTCTTCTGTATGAAATTATCCTCAACTATAATTTTCTGGTTTCAGTTCTAAACGTACCATCAGCTTTGTCCCATTGCGAGGTACTCTTTTACAGTTTGCACATCTGATAGTAGATTGCTCCGTGGTCATCGGTCAGTTACATCCATAGGAAATCTGAACAAAATTTTCGGCTTTATTCTATAAGAAAGTACATGAGATAGCGAATATTTCATAGAAAAACGTTTTCGCCATGGCAACTTCGGGAAATTTAATATAAGGAGGCCACTTTCACTACATTGCATTCCCCATTTCATCATTGCTTGCTTGAAAATACTTAGATTGCCAGCTGATACGGGTGCTCGAGCAAAGCGGTAGAGCCCATTTGTCACTTTTTGCGTATTTTCATGGGAGGCAATCTCAGGAAAATTTGATTGACAGACTCGAGACAAATCATTCAGGATTGCAGAAAATTCCTGTCATTCAATGAAAAGAATAAATTATAGCTCATATGCCAGAGAATTTTACTTTCACTTAAGAGCCGATAAGAACGCGGAGGTTGAAGAAAAGGGAACGGAAGTGCACTTACGGCCGGTGCAATGCTTATAAGAGCCCTCAAACTTTGAGATTGCAGTGCTAAAGTGCTTACGTGAATAATTTATATAAGAAAAAGTTGTTGCTTGGTTTCTGCGAAAAAAAACACATGGAATCTGGTTTTTGGTCGCCGGAAAAGAAAGTTCAAAAGCAATCAAGACGCGGCTTAGTGCATTGAGCGATTATTAGATGGAAAAGCTCTTCAACTAGAAATTCCAGAGAGATGGATTGGGTGCCAGCCCACTAAGACTACCTTATAAGGGGTATTATACAAGACAAATGAGTTACTCCTCTCCCCCTTCCCCCCCCCCCCCCCCTCCCCCTCACCCCTACTCAAATGTCCAAAAATGAAATGCAATAAATTCGTGAAATTTTGTGATCAATCACTCTACAAAAGAAAAGAAGAATTTTGCTTTGCAGCCAGAATTCGGGAAGAAGAGCGAACTTTCACGATGCACAAAACCAAGTGCCTGGCGATTCTCTCCAGGACTCGTGGAAATGAGCTGGCTATATAATTTATTCATGGAAGAGACTGAGAATGTGTGGATGTGGCGATTGCGATGAGGCGTGAAGAGCGGGCTGCATACTTTCCTGCTTTGCTAACGGCCATAACATGCCTTTTTTAGCTTGTCGTTGCCTCTATTCAGAACAGGGCAGGAATAACTGGACAGAAATTGCCCAGCAGCCCCCCGTTGTCATACCTCACATACATCGCACGTTTTTCGTATAATTGTTGGATCGATGAAGTGTACAGAATATTATGCAACAGCTGCAGTAGACGAAGCGTCTCATAAAGGGACTAAGGGCCTTACATGTCCGCAAAAGTCCCGTTGCTTTAATTTGTGCTGGAAATTCTGGGCAAAATATCTCATTGCCTATCCTACGTGCAGTGAAAATATGCATTCACCCGAACGAAAACAATCACCTAATCATTTTGACGATGCATCAAATAAATCTAGCAAGTTTATTTTATGAAATGCTTACGAATACCTTTAGGATTTTGGGTCTTTTCCATAGAAAACGACACTGACAAATGCTTGAGATACACACATAGATTTTTCACTAAACTTTCCCAAGGAGGAATAAGCAAAATTGCATCGTTGTTTACATCATAACGTATACAAAAAAGGGATCCAAGTATTAGTTCTCAACAAAAAAAAAGATGACTATTACGGAGAATGTAAACTGACCTTACAGCTTCAACTTCTACTTTCAATTATGTTGACTTACTATATAGATGGACCACTTCAGCTAAAAGAATATTTTGTCACTTTTACGAATATTATTGTTTACATGTCTATTCAAAGACCTTTCAGCGATGCATTGTAGGGAAGTAATTACAAACAACAGAATTAATGGGAACTAACATAACAACTTAGCCGAAAAAAAAACAAGAAAAAAGTCTAGCTTCGTTTTTACTTTTGCGTCTTCAAGCAACTATAAGGAACTTTGTAGTTTTTAAGAACTAAAACTACTGGGAAAATTTGACAAAACTGCAGTATAGACTATTGTTTTCAAATTTCATAAGACATAGGTACAAGGATCACACGAATTGCATTGTATCTTCCGAAATACTGTCGGGGTATTTTGATCAACCAAAACATCCCATTCATTCAGTACAGCTCTTCCTTCTGCTAAATTTCTAGGTTGTGGTAGTAGGTCAAAAATAGGTTCACATGGATGGGATAGCTCATGATAGCTTTATAATGAATTTTGACATTTGAAGAATACACTGCATAAGCTTCAAATTAATGGTAAGGTCATGAAGGAAAGCAAGATCGAGTTCTTCAGGTATTTCTAGAACATCTACGCAGTAAGAGATTAGATGCAAAGCAATGAGTTTGTGTGGAGTGGAACGCGGGCAAACCCATTTCAAATCGTAAATGTGATTATTCATAGGCTCTTTCAGTGAAATGGGTATGTTGGATGGAATAGCGATAAGCCAACTTCGTAAGGGAAGCAAGAAAGTACCACCAACTACTTTCGTTCTTGGTCACACAAGATACAGTGGAATACAATCTTCCCTGAATCATTAGTAGTGAAGGAAGTTTGTGAAGCTTACATGTCGCGCAAATTTACATTTTCTGGTTTTGTAGAGTGCTTCCGACTTGCCATAAGTATAACGTAGCAGCTTCAGAGAATTCTAGCATAACAGAAGAGAGACACAAAAGACAAAAAGCTCTACAAGTAGCTGTAATGCGCTGATGTAATCATCCTAATATTGGTTCATAGGACCGGTTTGCGCGGCTAAGTAGTAGAGCGTAGCTAAGCCGAGCCGCTAACGGTATCTATGGCATTGGTCGTCACAATAGTATCTGTAGCCGAATAACATGAATCTCATTCTATCATTTGTTCAAAGAATATTCGGAGGTGGGAATTGTTGGTGGTAAACGAGATGCTGATTCACAGTTATAGAAGCTCTTACTACAACATCATGACTTCAGTTTCAATCTCTTCAAGCCTGGATGTCACAAAAAACCTGTTCGGTACAGCAAAATTGAAGAACGGCATACCATGTTTATCGAGCATTTCTTGAATATTGAGTGGAAGCTAATATGAGGATAGTCAAAACAAGAAAACGTCCAAAAACAAAAATAGCTGCTATCTTTTCGAGCAGATTAGACTGTTACAAGAGTTTTGTTATATTCGAAAAAGGAGAATTTCTTCTTATTTTTATATTTGTGAAATGCGTATTGCTAATGCTCCTGGCAGTCTCCAAAAAAGCAAAAGTATGGAAAAGAAGAGAGAACGAGAATTTCTGCAGAATGACGAAGGATGTTACAAGGCACTAGGTAATTTGCATATATTGACTGTAACTCAAGTCGTAAAGGTGAAAATAATGCCACGCGAATAAACCTTCGTCTCATATGGCAAGTATGAAACTCTGCCGAATTTTCTAGAATTTCCAAAAGACGATGAAAATGTTACAAAACTTAAGTGACAAGCTATATTGCGCGTAACGCTTTGCAGTAAACCTCTTTAATCAAAGGGTTTTCAATGTGGTAGTGTTGAACTATAAGTTAATTTTCATAATGGAGTGCAGCACTTCAAAAAAAACACAAGAGCTCCCCTGCATAAATGCCTTTTGCCATGTAGTCAGAAAATTCTGAAAGGAATCTGGAATAAGTCAGCATTACGAAACGTTTCCATGACTTTTTGTGAACAAAGCATTCAGTCCACAACAAAAACCACAGAATCTCTCCGTTTCCCAGCTAATCCTCACCGCATTAGCATTTTCTCAGGAGTATCCATCGCTCAGCAACAAATCGCTCAACAAAGCGCTCTCAGCTAACGACTGCCTGATTCGTTGTGAATTTTACAAATGAATAGAGGCTAGATGTGTGGATGGCGCTCCTGTAGTACAAATGAAATCGATGGTGAACAAACATCGGGAGTGTTTTCGAGAGCAGACGTACCGATACGTAATGAGTATAATTCCGTCGTGTGTGTGTGGTGTGTGTAGCGAGGGAAATTGATTACGGCTGGGTGGACAAATTTTAGCGCTGCTAAACATTTAGTGAACCATCTGGCGAAAGTTGACACTGGATAAGCACTGTAAGTGAGCCTATAGAAATTATATCTCCAGAAAGTATTGATAATGAACAACATTTATAAATTCAAAAACTTTTTCAATAATCTTATTAATCCGAGTTTCAGATGTTTTATCATACTCAGCTTCGAAATTAATGGTAACGCCATTTCGATTATTGAAATTACTTCCATATGTTTTACGACAAATGTCTGTTGAAGCTGCCACTTTCAATGATGAGGGAAAAGTTGCCACAATCTAGAGATAGAGAGGAATTCATGGAGAAATGTGGACCTAGAACTGGACTCGGATTCCATTTTGGGTACTTACTTCGCCTACTAGAACTTTCACTTCCCTTCCACCAGCTTTCCCAGTTCCAATTTTTCGATATGCGAAGTATAGAAATGCATTAGCAAGGTTGATTGACCGCAAATGAAAAAAGAAAGTAACGAGGAGCCTGCGTATTTTCTGCAAAATTTGAGGAAACTATTTGCAAAAATAGTCATCACAGGAATCTACATTGGACAGCTTGAGGCGGCCCGACAAATGTGGAGGGTCTAACTGATGTAGAAGAAAAAGCATTATGCACATGTGCTGAATAACGATGTGCCAATAAATTTTATATAATGGCTCTAAAGTACAGCTGTGCAGTAGAGCAATCGCAGATGCGGAGTGAAGAAGATAGAGCTTCGAAACTCATTAAAGAATACATTCTTCTCAAAGACCGTTGTCTGCTGTATTTTTCTTCGTTCCCGGATTTGACTTCATGGGCAGAAGATTTTGGAAGCAGACTTAGAAAATTGTTTGACATTTCAAAGAGTTTCCTTGTGTTGTCTAACTTCTATTGCAACAAACATGCAAAAATGTAATTCATCAAAGCTGTGTCTCACCGAAAAGTTTACAATCAATGCTGCTAAAGCTGTAACAAAAGCTCAGTATCCCTTAGTTCGGAAAAGTGTAAAAGTGCTCAGAGCTGACTTTGTCTCAATATAACTCCTGTTTCAAAATTTGGAGAATAATAATGCATGGGTAGATTGACCGCATACAAAAAAATCG